ATTCCAGTAGGCTACATGGATGCTGGATCTTGTGCATAGATGATTAAGGTTCCCAGCTTGCTCATTTGTCACCCCATCCACTGGGAGGGCGCAGGGCGCGTCGCTTCCCGGGAACGCCGTAGCATGAACGTGATGTACCATTGTAAGACGATCCACGAAGAAACTTGGGAATGAGGTATTAATTGACGTCCCCATCTTCGCTCGGCTTTTGTTCGAGGGTGCACCTCTAACCCTTGCACAACCAAGTGCAACCTGCAGGGTAACAGGGTAGAACTGTTGGTAGCCGGTGACCGTTAGAACGGTTCATACACCTTTCGGATGACTCTGCGTCAGACCAGAATTCCCAACGTGCCCGTAAGGTAGCATTCCTCAGAGTTTGTTCTACTCGTAAGAGTAGGCAAGCAGCAATGGCTTTATTTGGTGGTGGGCCACATTCGCACACTTCGCGATGCTGTCAGCAGACACTTATGGCATTTGAATGGGTTATCGGTTACCAGCCGAATACCCCACCACGGCCTCTAGCATCGCCGCTGATCGTCCGTGACCGATTATTCAGTGAGGTAGCCCACCTTTTCACGGTTAAACACCAAGGTGACCGTTCTCCTATTCACGACCTGGAGACGCGCTCGGTGGCACTCAGCTGTGCTATCCGTAGATGGTTCAATGAGTACGGGTCGGGCAGACTAAATACGAGGGACAAGCAGTTGGAACTGCCTGTTTCAATGACTGTCTTTCACATCACCTCAAAAATGTTATTCATCCTCTTGTAACAGTAGCTTCCTTTGGTTCTCTCAGCTTCGTGTTTCTCTGATCAGGAAAAATTACCCTCTTTTTTATGTTTTAGCGATGAAAAGTGTTATGTAAAGTTGCCAAATGCGTGTGCGTGTGCACGATACTGAAAAATCAACTGTGGGCAAACAGTTACAGTGATAAAACCCGATTTGATAAACACCAGAGTGCACTCGCTCGGGCTCTTTTGGTCATCTATCCACTAGACTGTAAACACAGATTGGCTGGAAAAGATCATCAAGTGCAAATGCAATTTGCATGGATTGAAAATATGGCATTTGATGTTCAGACGATCGACCAGGTGACTGTAATAAAATATCGTCAAATTGTCGTTCCGGTGATCTATTACAGTAGAGATGATTCAAATCAGGGTATGGTTTGCTATGGAAAATCATCTGCACGATTGATGACATGAACCAGTGTAGTTTGTGTCCTGATTTTCACTTCACTGAAACTCAGAATCGATTGATAAATGTTTTCACATCAACATAGTTGTTTTGTTTACTGTTATTTATTGGATATATATATTTAATTTCATAAAAATGTGGACGGGAATATCATGAAAATGATTGCTATATGAAGTCGTAGAATTCATTTCCTCAGTGTCATTGATCTAAATAAGATGAGTTTTCTCTTTCTGCTTAGGAGAAACACTGCCGACTTCAGTAACTAAAAACTGAACATCAGCCTTTCTGGAGTTTTCCTTTTACGAGTCTGGCATCACTTATCAGGCACCATTTCCCTGCATCAACCAGCTTGACAAATTTAGAGTTACCGCATCCTAAAATATTACTGCGCAAGAGTACAGTACACGTGCTCTGAGTGATTTCTTGAAATCCGGTTCTTGATAATACCCCAGGATTTTCATATGTAGAATGGAGTATGGGAAGCAAATTAGACCGACATGTGGTACTTGCTAGTAGATAAGCGATTGCTGTACAAAATTTGAACATGCCGCCATTAATCTCAGAATGTTATTACACCGTTAGGCACACACCAGATGCAAAAGTAATTCTATTAATTATCAAATAACTTATTTCATGCAAAGGGCAATTAAAGGAAGACTTTTACAACTGTTTTAATCCGATAAGTTCTTATCAGCAATGTAAATCCATCGACTCAACTGAAGACCGAAACCCAAAGGAATAACTGAGGCATAGCGCTCAATTAATCACTAAGCAGATGATCGTAATGTTATTCATTTTTCTGTACATCACACCACGTGTATATGAAAACAAGCCTCCGGGGGTATGAGTCCGTTGGAAAGATTCCAAACCTGAATAATTGTTGCATCAAAATATAGATGAACAAATGGATAAATATTCCTAAACCCTGGGTCAGCAATTTTCGTTGATATACCTTAAGGAACCATAACTACTAAGTTATCCTTCGTATCCTAACTTCGTTGATTGATATTTCAAAATCGCTATAACTTTTTAGTACCTTCTACCAAGAAATCACTACGCACACATATAGGATTTGCATATCTTTGTGATAAAAATTCGGACCCCTTTTTTTCGAAATTGTATTACCTTGGCCATAGTTATGTCCCCGAATAACAAATGATTTCTGGTATATTTTCGAAAGTATGACGAAACCAGGCCAGAGATCAGAATAGATGTTTTGAACGTACCTCCTTAAAGATCGTAACCTATCTGCTTACGAGAATCATAATGTTTTTAGAAATTCATTTCCCGTTTCACCGTTGTTTTTGTTTCATCCATCATCTGTTTCATTCATTCATCTGTTTTGAAGATACCTGAACATATAAATTCTCTCTCATTCACCTCATTGGTTATGACTACTTTCTTCATAAGTGGCTTACTCACAGATGCAGTTTGTTATGTGCCATACCCACCAATATCAATGCCCTCACTAATAGTACAGTTCACTATGTATGTACAACCGGCTGGTGCAGAATACCGGTTTATTGTTTAGTTGGCTAGCGCCAAGTGTGTCAGTGAAGAGTTATAGTCAGTGTGAACACATCCGGTAACAAAGTCAATACCGGCCTGATCCAATCAGTCATCATATCCATTTTGGGACGATTATTATTATTTTGGGGCGCGGTTCATAAAGGACTTGGAGAATTACAACTGATTCATCCTTAAACAATCGTACCAACAATTGTTGGTCCATTCTTCAAAATAGAGGCATGGAGATGAGTAAATTTTCCGAATTGGCTAATGTTCTCCAACCATCACTTTTTAACTCCTCAAATTAAATAATAACAATCTGCAAAGTCATGAGGAGTAAGAAAGACAAAATTCTCAAAACAACCTTACCGTATCTACGAGGTGTTGAACGTTGAAGGTGTAGATCTCAGCCTGGTTGTTTCCTCTTTTCACCCAACAAATAACGATTTCGTTCCTGTCGGAGACACACAATGTACATAAACATGTTATGCCCCAAAAAATGCCTTATGATTTCTATTGGTTCTAATGCAGAACGAACTTGGAGCCTACGAAGGCGACCTCCATTTGGCTTCATGCTAAATTTGATCGAATAATTATAGACATATGTACAGGTTATAGGTTCACATTCACAGGTTTAATTCACATGTTATGACAGAGGTTACCGCATCAGGTTTAGTTTAAGAATGGTTTGATTGCAAAATGATTGAAGAATTCTGGAAACGATTGTGATGGCTGTTGATAGTTGCTTTACGGCGAGAAATCGTAGAAATATGAAACAAATTATTGTGAAAACCTTTTTAGTAGTTAATTTTAAATCAAAAGAAAGCCACCTTCTAATTGGGTTGATTATCTCCAAGCATTAAACATCTTACATTTACAGTTCTTGAATGATGTTTGAAGACCTAATGTAGAGGTAACACATACATATGATAATTACAGAAGTGCGGTTTGATGAGAAGGCTGTTGCAGATCCATTCACGGTTTACTGCTCGATTTGGGCACTGAATGCAAATAGACCAAGCCGTTTCGATTAGTTCGAAGCAATGAGAAAAATAAAATAGAAACGGGAGTTTGCAAAACAATCGATGGGATGCGTTGTTTCCAAAACAGACTACAAGGAAAAAGGAAACAGAATCGAATCGCTTTCGGGGTAAAACACATACACAAACAGGCACACAGAATGACCAGTGAGAGCCACAGTTTGATTCATACAGGGTCACCCGGGCGCTGCGTGTTTCAGCCGCTTCATTATGATGAAGGTCACTTCCGATTTGCTAGGGGGCGGGGAGGGAGGACGAAAGAGAAATTCGACCAGAAATCGTTTCTCGTGCGATTCATTGTCAAGCTCCTTTAATTTCACATTCAAATTAACATGATAAGAAAAGCTTTGATCCGCGGCGATGGTTGCTCTGCACAATCAGCCGCTTCGATTCAACAACTCTGTGCAAAATTAAGTTGAATCTGAAGGATGTTTTTTTACTGACCCAGTATTTCTTGCTTGTGTACGCAGAAGAAACCAGACGAACTAGAAAATTAATTTTTCGCAATGTGCACCGTGAAACTGTGTGTGTGTGTGCGTGAGTGATGCAAAGTAACGTTACAAAGCAATGAAAATGAACTCGTTTCGGTTATATATTCGTTTTGTTTGCAACGTAAACTTGTTTTTCTTCATCGAAAATGACTTGTTTTGGTACACAATCTCTCTCGCCCAACGCTTCTAATGTATTCAAAACACTCCCATTCACTTTATTTTGGTTCTTCTTCTGGATGGAATAGCTATAGTTTAAAACTTAAATTAAAAATCATTTTAGTCCAATCAGATGAAGCGTCCTCGTTTGAGTATCTGACATATCTAGTGGGGTTTTCTATCAACTCAAAGTATTTAATAAATACTACTACCACTTTCCTGCTTAACATGAGGGTTAAGTAACCTATTCCAATTTACCTCGGGTATCTTTCATTTGGTTCATCCAATTACTAGTATTTCACTATTTTTCAAATAGATCACAGAACCTCAAAATGCCCGGTTGCTACTTTTAAATGTTTTTTCTCTCTACCATACTTTTAGAACCCATCTTCAGTTTACTTGGCGCCATTATTCCTCTTTACTTCAATCCGGTTTACAATAGACTTCAAACTATGTGCTCAGTTAAATTCCATAGACCCATTAATCAGCTTATAAATAGGACACCATTTGCGCCCTAGTCGATGACGATTCTCTTCAAATAATGCAACCAGGTCACGCAAATCGCGTTACGTTTTTCTATTGAACGATGCACTTCTATCCGCCCCAGGATGGTTCGTTTTTATATTCAAAATGCATGCCGCGTTTTGCTCATGATAGTTCTGTGTTCTGTCACCAATGCAGCTCAAGTGCGCCGATACTCGTTTGGCCACGTTAATAGGTATCCGGGAGCTTTTGTAAAACGTTTCTAACGTACTTTGATTAAAAAGCACCGAAGATGATTTTCGTTCTCTGAGAAACAGTCCGTCAGACCACACCATCGAATTCAGTCCAGAAATTCATTTACGGATGATATGTTAATAGTCTGAATTAAGAGTTGACAAATGTGTCTAAATTATGTACAGAATTCCATTTACATACATCTTGATTTTATAAAAATTTACCTTCAAGTAGTGCGGTAACTAAATCATCAAAGAGCATAGATATGATAAATTATGATAACAATACGAGTTAGCAGGCAGGAATGCAGACCAACTTGAGCCGAAAAAGAACAGTGCATACCGTGTCCGGTAGATAAGCGAGTAATTATCAACGCAAACCCACGAATATGCAGCGTAACCTGAAAAAGACAATTCCATCCAAATTTGTGCACACATACAATTTTCTTCACCGATTTTTCCGACAGAAATGAATCGATCGAGTCCGGTAATCGTCCACCCGAACGCGCATTCTTGGCCAACCGTGTGGAAAATCAAAAAAAGGTCCCTTCGTCAGATTACCAGAGCCAAAATATTCCCGTAACTCGATCCGGCCATTCCGTCATGAACGCTCAGGTAGGCAATTATTTATGCCCAAAACCCATTGATGTCGGTCCAATTCTAATTCTCTCACCTCATTATATTCATCTCACTTCGACTAATAACTGTACCGCTCGTTATTCGGTTTATTTGACTGCTTCGATGTCATATACTTCACTTGTAAACATTTATTTTACAAGAAGATCAGATGGCGATAGAGGTAAATCTAGCCCATTACTGTACGTACGATTTGGAATGAAGTACTCTGTAGTTGAAAATAAAAGCTCTACATATTTACAAATGAACTAAAGTTACTTACCCGGTTTTCAACCTCCTCATCGTATCTGCAGAAAAGCACCGGTTCTTTGGCGCAAATCTATTTTTAGTCACAAAAGAATTTCACATAACGACTTTGGCTAGTTAAACATTTGCATTGTGCATTTACTAGGCATCAAATCAACATTCTCTTCGAAACAAAGTTAACTTTAGTGATATGGGTTTCTCGAACAGATAAAGTTGAATTGAAAAACATTCAAATTTTAGCTGATTCGATATCATACAGAATTTGTTTTCCGGATGCATGAAAAAGAAAAAGTAACGAAAGAATTTCTGGTCACCCATTAAACCTTTAATCGTTCTTTCTTTTCGTACTCTGTATTTGGAAAAGATGATGAAAATACTGCCCGTGTATGCCATCGACCTTTTACCATCGTTTATTAGACAAGGTTAAACTCTGATGACTTCCAGTATGGTGATGACCTGCTGCACTTGAGGGAATAATGTCAAAACAGTGAACGTGTTACTTAAATAAGCTCAGTAGTTGGAGATTGTGATCAGAATGGTATTGATCATACGAACTTGTGCTAATGACATATCAGTCCGTGGAATCAACAATGTCACATCTTTCACTGTAAACCTTCAGTGACCCACTCACTTCAAATGAACCGCTAATGGATGAAACTACTACAAGAAGCTGACCATATATTCGAGTGCTGCATGATTCAAATCTAACTCGCCAGAAGAAAGATTTTCGATTATTGCTTTTATATCATTTCCAGTATTCCATAACGTGGACAACTCTTTATCCTGTCTGGCATGACAAATCTCTATCCCATATGCAGTCTCTCATACGGACAAACAACAATCAGTCAATGATGTTGAATTTAGAATCAATCATTTGTTGCAACTGAAATGTGATCCAATCCGCCAGTGGGCAATTCATCCATCTATTTGCCAGACCCACGAGAGAATTGAAATATGTGTGCTTTAGGCCAGCTATCCTCGAATAACACAAATTTGTTTGAAGCAAATTGGTTCGGCCAATTTCTTCCAAATTATAGCGAATATAGTGTAAATGTCAATGACAGAACATTTTGGTTAGAGTCCGGCCGTAATCACTGAACTCTATGCGTAGTTAGTCAGGTTGCAAATAGTTCATCAACAACGTGTTTACATTTCTCAGTTTCAATAATTCGAATGAGGATTATAAACTAGCAACTAGAGTCTAACGAGTACAAAAGTAAAGCTACAATATATTCCACTAAAGTTAGGAAAATTTCTTCCTCTCTCTAAGTTGTCAATTTTCGAACTATTTCATTACGAACAGTGTTGCACAGTATTCGTTCATCTCAAGGATGGTTAAAATTCAATCGATCATTCCTCCTTAACCTATACTTTCATTTCCCTACCTTTTACTCGTTTTATGCGGACATTCGATCAGAAAAAAATCACAGTACCGTCCCCCGCACAACAAAAAGGGGAGACTATTCAATGTTTTTTCTCTGCTCATTTGACAAGTGTATTTTACGACACATAACTAACACAACCGAACAAAGAAAGAGAACACGAGTGAAAGACAAGATCGAACACGACAATGTGATTTAATGAATCAGGGATTGTCCAGTACCAATCTAACTAATTCACGGTGCACCCATGTCAGAAACGTCCATCTGAGTCGATAACTGCAGCCTTTTCTCGTATGTAAATCGATTTCAAATTTTATGTTGATTGTTCTCCTGATCTTTTTTTCTCGAGACCAGATTAAACCACTAGCTATTTCGCACCAGCATACTAATGTGTTTCAAACATTGGAAGGCCTGTTAATCTGTGTTGCCTCCATGACAGTTTCCCGTTGATTTTTGTTATATATTATTGACTTTCATGTTAAATCACGTCGTGTGTACTAATGTAGGGATATTATCAAAAATATGACATAATTTCGCAATATGAATTTAAGTAAATTAGTCACATCCATTAAACATTTACTCTATTTTTATCAGAATCGTGATGTTTTTATCCATCACGTAAGGATTAGCGGTGGTGGCCCGGTGGTGACGTCAACAAATTATCACCCCTAGGACTAGTGTTCGAATCCCACCGCCACCGCCTGACTCTCCCCAGTTGTGTTGTAAGGCAGCTCTTTAATTGGCCGCTTCCCCTTCCTGAAAATTGTATCATTGTGTATTCAATAAAAGGAAATAAAATGGAAAAAGGGAAATTACTCATTATCATTTTGAATTTTCTTGTACAATCCCAATTTACTTATTTTAATCATCTGGAACAGTAAACTAAACGTTATTCATACATACGCTTTAACTGTGATCTCGTTAATGAATGAAAATCACAGCACATTAACATCTTCAACTCTTCAATGATTCATAATTCATTCGAGGCGCCAGGTGGGTCCAATCTACCCCAACTAGGGCACCGAAAAACCGGATCGAATAACAATTACCCTTCATCTTTGACCGCATGCAAATCACAATTGACTTGTGCTATTTTTATAAGAAAATGTATTAATTCATTGTGCCACTCATCAAAGAAAAGTTCATGGAAGCAGATGTTTCATATCTTTTAGGAATTATCACCAAAACAGGATCACTAATTTCGATCGGATTAGGTAGGAGGATTTGTTAATACCGCTAGGGCTCTTCAAAGCTCTTATCAGCAGCTTGCTATATGTCAACAATATTTGAAATGAGCATATCTATCAACATCTTTGACAATAACGGACGTTGTTTAATGATGCTTCAATACTAACCCCCCCCCCCAGGAAACAAAAGGCGAGATTTCCCAACTCGAGTTTAACACAGTAACATTAATTTGTCAAATCCGCAATAATATCAACACTATTTCATTCGGTACATGATGCATTGGTAATCTGCTGTGCTGCAATATTTCATTCACTTTGTATTCTGAAATCCTACGACATTCATATTGAAAGATTCAGCGTAAGAACAGTTTGTGTGTGTGTTCACATGAAACAACATGCAACCGTATTTTTCGCGCTTCTGAGGTATCAGAATGCAACTAACCAACAGCTAATTTGTATTTGCTACAAATACACCACAAAGCTCTCCGACACTGCTTATGGTTATCGCAGTGGGTAGTATACCGGAAGTGTATTGTCTCTGATCCCGACAAGGATATCATCTGTTGAGTGTCCCCGATTAAACAGGTCTGCGTCGGATAATCAGTCAGGGCGTGGGTTGGTTGCATNNNTTGCATTTGTTGTGTTCATTGAATCAAGCGATGGCAAAACAGGATTTGTTTGTACTTTAGACCGGTTTGTTCAAATTCATGTGATGATCACAGAGCAGTTTATGCAGTAAAGGGAAGGTTACAGCTGTGGTTATCGTTGAGAATTTTGTACTCTATTGCTGAAGGGAATATGAGTTGCGTGAAAACCGGATGAAATACATCTCAGAATATGACGTTTTTGGTTCAGTGTAGGAAGCACAGCATGTGGCCACATTGATTTGTTTCGCACCATGTTCAAAACCGCAGTGGGATTATCACCACCATCACTGCTATTGCCCATAATGCTACTAATACTACTAATAATGTCAATAGGAATAACAATAATAATAATTATTTAAAAACGACGACTAAACTCTATTGGATGGTTCCACCATTCTTAAAGATTTACAGTAGTGGGCAGGTTACATTCAGAAAATATTTTACATCTCAACCGGTGTTGAATGTTAAAAATGGAGTTTTCGAAGGAAGGTTTAGGGTTGACATTATCAGGGCAGACACAAACATCTTTCCGCTAACCCTAACAATTGAGGGTAGTGGGTTTGACATAAACCAATAATGCCAAACTCAGTTCTACGAAAACCATTTTGAAAACCTCCATTCAACCACATGCTTCCCTACCCGCGTAGGTATACTCCCACAGTACAAAACGGACGCATATGACACAATCAAGTAGTCCTGATAGTGAGAACTATTTAAAAGTCTGTCTATGACCTGATACACTGATCTTTTCATTTATCGGAAATGGAAGATTACATTGCACTCCTTCTCTGGTTTGCGTTTCAATCAGAAAGTACACCTTACCCACTAAACCGTTTGGAACAGATAAGAATAAATTGCCAGATCTGAACATACGGAAACGCGGACTCTAGAGAGTGATATTGTACGGAGCTTCAGAGCGAACAAATTGATCTTTGTACAGGGATGAATCAATCAACATGATATCCGGTTGGTGCTTTTTATGCTGCTTCACTCCTCCTAGCGCACACACAGAGACGTACAGAATCGTTATTTTTAAAATAAAGTGGAGGCAAAGCTCGCAACATTACGAAAATACATGTTCGACTGTTTTTATGATCGGCTCCATACAGTTTGATACATTCTGCTCTCGTTTGTATATGGTGAACTAACCATATTTAAATCGAGTCTGAGAGTTGAGCATGGAACATGTTATTACTATGATATAAGGGCGATTGGAGATTAAATGAACCACAAAAGCGCCGATTGCTAAGTGACAAAAATTCAAACTTGGTTTCTACACAAACTGAGGACCGTAATGGTCAAAATATTTCGTGGTATGAATCACAAGATCACCTATCATTTCTACCATCCAGCGACCATCGAGACGTTCTTCCAGCGGACACTCGCCAAGTGAGCCCGCTATTTGTCTATGTTGTTCGTTGGTTGTGTTAGTATGTGTCTACAAAGCTGTATGACTATGTTCTCACTGATTCGATTGCACCCTATCTGTTCTTCACACTTTTGTGTTACTTTTTTCTGTTGCGCACTACTTTCTCATTTATTCGCGCACCATTATAAATCATTCTTAGGGAAACATTCTATTTGCGGGGACTTCCGGTTTATCAATCATAAAAATTGTGGTCAGTACATGGCCAGATTGTCCACTGGTGTAATGTGTGTTTAAGAAGAACGGGTGATTCAATATGGCAGAATAGACACGCGCATCAAAAATACCCGTTTGCTCACACACGACGACATCAAACACAGGTGTGAACGATTTTCCTGATCTTGACAGTATATCTGTCAACTTTGTTGAAAAATTTCGCGCTTCATTATGTATAAAAAAGCCATCTTCGAAAGATGGGAACAACTAGTGCAAAAAAGATGGGTAGAAAAACCATCCATTCGTATTGAATGCCACACAAGTTGTCAGGGCTGATGATGGCGGTGGTTTAAAGGACAGCGGAAAAAGTGCACAGGGCTCCAGAAACAGGACATGACCGATCGAATGAAGCCGCGCAAAACCCGATAGTGGGTTTCTCCACATTCTGGATGGATAGTACCGCTGTGCTGACCGACTAGAACAATCAAATGACATTAGCATATCCCCATCAGAGATATCATGGTTTCAGTTACATGACATGCATCTATCATTATAATCATTGGCACTGTTGTGCAAAGAAGACGGGGGGGGGCAATTATTCAAACCCAACTGGTTGCCTCTGCGTTTCACTATAGAAAGATAATAAGTGGGCGGAAAATCAGAGCTATAAAAGATGTCCTACGATTTTGTGATCCTTGGGAGAAAGAAAATTTGAACACCGGTGTTTGACCAGCTTCAAAAGTTTTTGTTCAGATAGACTTAAACATAGTAAGAGGGATTATGAGGCATACAAATTTGGAAAAGGGACCAAATTGGAAAACATTGAAAAGTAAATCCGTGATAAGCATAGTATCAACCGAACAGAGAAGCAATCACACGGTAATTAGCAAGTGGTCAGCCAGTGGATCACTGAGGACGAATCGGTGACATGGCGGATATTCTTTTGCCCAACGTGGTCATGAAGTAACACATGAGAAGCGGGAGTTCAGCTCAGCACATGATTACAAAATCTTGAAGAAGGAGGCTGGGACGAGGCGACAAACCATGCTGTGTGACAAGGATAAAAGTTACCTTGACTTTGGCGTTCTAGATTATAGGAGAGGGTTAAATCGGAATTGAACAAGTGTGAAAGCATATTGGAAACGAAACTCGAAACTGCGTGAGTTCAAGAGTATCAAGACCATCCAGAGTGTTTGGTGCCTTTTAACCATTGAATGAGCTAATCCAAGCTTGATACTCTGAAAATTGATTAAACCATTTGCGCAGGGTGACGACCGTTGGCCGTGTAGCTCAGGGGTAAGGATTTGAAGTCTCGACCCGAATGTTTGCGGTTAGAGTCTTGATAGGGTCAAAACTTACGTACTGCCGACGAGTACCAAACAGGAATAAACAGCTGTCCAGTGCTGTTTTGCGGTCATCACAAAGATTTCCATCGCATTCGAATATGGGTAGACACAAATAAACCACTCAGAAATCCCGTTAAATACGATCACAGTTGTTCTCATCAACTGTCGTGTGTCATAGGATTTGTCTGTTCTTCTTTTGTAATAACAGATTCTTATGATGACTGGAAAGCTGGACCACAAATATTTTGGTTGCACATGGACAGTGTCCAATTTTACCTCTGTTGCTACTACATATTTATAGGAATATAATTTCACTTCTTCTTTCTCTACTTTTTCAGACCCAGAAAGACTATACTTCGCGATCGTATAGCATTTATGACAATGTAGGTTTGGACGAGTATGAGAATCACCGAGAAACAAATGAACAGAACACTAGCCAGCAGGCTGTTCCAGAGGACAACAATGCCGACGTGAATGAGACGGTGAAATTACTTCATGAGGATTCCGCGGATGTCTTGCAGAAAGATGATTCCGGATCGATACGTCAGATCGAGACCTCCGACGCCAGGGAGACAAAATGTCCTGTGGAAACAGAGCCTTAATGGGAGTGAGATCGAAAAGACATACACTGCGAAAAACAAATCACTGTGGATTTCTTCTGTCACCTCAGAGCAACCTCAACCAAAAGACAGACAGGATTCAGAATAATGCAGTTATTTCAATTGTTATACACATATTTGTTGGTTTTATAACCATTTGGACCCGATTTCATTGGCTCTAATGTGCAATCATCACGGCAGACAAATGTTGACTAAAGAACACCCAACAGCCTCTCTTTCTACATTTTCTGCCTCATAAAGAATGAACAATGCAAGAAAAAAAGCAGAAAACGGTTGGAAAACGTCTGCCACCTTGTGATTTGTGTGTCTGTCCCCTGTAATCTCATATCTTCCATTTTCTTTTATGAAGTATGTATGAATACCTGTTCACAACTGTCTTCTGGTGATGAAGCCACGCACAATCAGATTTTCTTATTCCACTATCTAAAGCGTTCTTTGTATTGAACTTGTCATTCGCCTATAGTCTAGAGTTTCTTCAAGCCATTCACTTGGATGCAGTTTTATTGTACATGCATTATTTCATTAAATTGCTGCCTTTTATTCGTTGGAGAAATTGAATTGTTCTCATTGAAGGCATTACTTATGGCGATTAGCTATGTGAGGTGACACACGGATCTCGTTTACGTCATCTTCCTCAACGAAAGTCGATATTGAAGCTGGTAGGAACTGCACTAGCACGAAAGTTAACTGTGGAGTCCAAATTGAAGATAAGTTTAGAATTTGACTACCTAAAAACTGTAAGTAGTCCAATATTTAGTGCGAATTTAATTATAATCAACTTAGTAGAGTGGGTACATCACATACTAACTGCCGGTAACCTGGGTCCGAAGATAACACAACGAATTCTCGGTAACCATCGTCTCGGTTTTGAAACTTATGAAAATGAAGGAAACCGAAGCAGTTCTGTCATAAAAGGTGTTCAGTAATCCTTTTTTGTCTAGTAAAAATGAATGCTCAAGGCTAAAGGAAGCTAAACGATGGAGTAAAAACGATAACCGTTGTTTGGTGCAAATACTGATACAAGACACCAATTTCTAATAGTTGGCTTGACTACGCGAGTTCCAAATGTTTTACGGTGCCCTTAGATTGATGCCGCCACATTAGTTGTGCGTGAATAAATCCTTCACGTTTTGCCCTAACACGGAGGTATTCCATATGTAGATAAATTTTAAAAATTCTGGTGATTGAAACATCTGCGACGGGGTCCACTTGAAGTTTTCTGACGTTGATGTATTCCCTACCAAAGTACAGGACTTTCCTTCTGATCAATGAAAATCAGTACTGCTTATTCAAACAACCTCTTTACGTGCTATCATGTGAACCATTCCTGATCGACTGCATAATGAGGTCAAATGGGCGAGATCGAAAATTCATGCGAGAAAAACTAACAAATCAATATGTGAAGTGATCACCCTCATCAAGCGGTGAATTTTCAGCTTCAGACCCAATAGAGGTTAGTGCGTTTTATTCGTCTGACCTATTCCTAATTATATACTATGCAATACGTACTGTAAGGACTATAGCCCGTAGACCTATGAGGTAGAGCCAGGTCATTCGTTGTTTACAGACTAATTATTGTCGGTATTTATTACTTTTTTTCAGATTTCAACACTAAGCCGTCAGTATCGGACAGGAGAGGGAAAGCAAGGAGGAAGAGACAAACTTCGGGATCTACTTTCTATAGATGAAGTCTTAGTAGTTCCAGATCAAAATGCGGCTAGACTAGACAAGCTCAGTCATCCTTTTCAATTGCACAGCAACAAATTTTGCAGAGAATGCTCTTGAGGTCCCTTGTTGAGTTGGTAGAAATATATTTTTGTTAATTTACTCCGGTTATTTATCATTCGGGTAGCAAAGAACCACACTCTCGAGGAGGGTCACATCCCCGAAACACTTTTATTTCATGCCCCCTTACCTCAGGTGTGTTATCTCGCACATCTGTAAAATCATTCATCTGATACATCTATGAAACACTTCAGAATGGTGAAGATGCCTTGTGCACTAAGAAGTCAAATTCCGGAAAGGAGTGAACAGTTATACGAGAGACGGTCAAAAGAACAAACTCAAGGATATGTTCTCCCCAACTTACTATACCGATATCCAGAAAACATGAGAAGAATAGCTGAGGCTTTGACTATAGAGGAGTACAGTTCGATTTTGTAAACACAAAAGACAATGGCAACCGATTTGACCTCAGGACGGTATGAACCATTAAATTACAAGTCTTAAAGCTTCTCAGGCTGGGTCCGATCTTACCAAATAGTAACACCGATGTGTAGTCATCTCCCTGTTTTATTTCATCGTGTAGGAACAAATTCTCGTTGACTGCAACAGTATGAAGGCGATCGAATTGTCTATACTCAAGACGTGTTACAATTATACCGGTATTGATCAAACTCCTGCAACATCACTCTCATTTTGGAAATCCATTTCAGTTTGCAATATCATACTTACATATTTATGGCTATGACTTAGGAGGAACAAATGTGATGAAAGTCAGGGTTTTGCATCAGTTTGGCCAACAGCTGTAACAATAATTCCACGCACGGCTCTGGTGAAACCATTCTGGATAAAGGTGCAGGTTGAATGGTTCTCCTAGTGGGAACTACCTCCGTCTCAAGGACATCTCCGTTGTAGTAGTAACTTTCTCTGGTAAACCTCTCCACAGCTTCTAGACGTGATGTTTACGTGGGTCAGCGAAACAGCAAATAGGTAATCGAAACCTTTGGTGAATTTTCTGTTTGAATTATGAGACATCTTCGTTCAACAGTCTCAAGCTGATATTATGCCTTCTTAGAAATATGTACAACCAACGATGGCTCCACATCACGAGCCCCTACACTGTTTTCTTAATTTACTGCGACTGGTTTATTGGAAAGACTAAGCCGGTTCCATTTTAACAACGGAGTTGCAAGGGAGCTTGATACGAGAGACGTAGCCGCCGAACAGCTAAATGCTCCGTATAAACGCCTTCGCGATGCGGTAGACACAGACACAACCTAAGGCTCCATGCGTTCCTGTTTGGTTGAAATTTTTTCATAACCATTCAATCAAGTGGATCTTGTATGCCCAATTGGCTGCTTTGGCATACCGTTCACTCTCTCAATAGAGACTTCAAACCTCGATTAATGCCAACTGGTTCAGCTCACTTGTCGAGCGGTTTGCCGGGGTGGGGCCGCTGATGCATGTCTCAACTTTGGGGAGCCACAGTTGATAATAGATTATAGGATGGAGGTAAATGGAGGAGGTGGACTGCCCGAAAGGGGCACGAGCGCCAACCAAGTCATAAGGTCCTGTGCAGTAATGAAAACTGATATTCCTTCCTACCGAACTGGGAGTTATTTCTCATCCCGAAAAGGCTACGCTGATGCAAATCAAGGACTTATACTGAGCCACCAATGCGCAAGTAGATCCACAGATCTGAATAGCCATCGCGAGCAACGGGGTGTACTAATAACAGCGTATGGCATAGACATTATGAGTCTAATCATCACGGTTATTTACCGGAAATTCCTGATATCAGTATACCCCGCGCGGTGACTGGTGATGGGATCGGTGCGATGCTGAGCCGATTGCTTTTCTATTATATAACTCTGTAGATCGATTGTATGCAGGCCTAGATTCCCCGTCTGACTTTACCGTAGTAACTCCTTTTCTAAGTTGTTACTCAAACATCTACGAAGAGATTATGAAAACGAAATACGAAACGATATCTCCAAAAGCATTTTCCTTTTATCCGAAGATGCACTTGTATCCCAAGGCTTCGCTAAAACACTCGTTTTTAGCTGCTACTCACAATTGTGAGTAGAATGCGCGCGCACAAGAAGAAGTGATTGTCTATTGCTCATAATATTTAAATATGAACAAGACCTACTCAAGTGAATTACTGTATTCAAAATAACAACGCAAGAAGATGTCAAGATACCGTCGGACTGTTCAGCCCATGATCACAAATGTTTGTCGAATGTATGATTACTCTGTTTCAAGTAAGATGTCTAACTTAATCATACTCCCTGTCATTCTATCAAATGAACGGTTGTCATCAGTCTGGAACCAGTCATATGGATATACATATAACACTTGTAAGTGTTTCAGCTACCCTCAACCAGGTCTACGGCGCCATTTGAGGAAACTACCGAGCTTGAGTATTGGAGAGACGTACGAAGGGAGAACCGTGCGTCGGGTGAAGATCAAAGATTTGAGTCATACCCAATTCGGTGGTGAGAAGATATGGTGGTGCCCAGCTTTATACTGTACATATCTTACAGTGTAGTTATAGGCTGCTCACTGCTCGAGCTTGGGATGAATCCCGGACTGTGGTTATCTATTTGTCCCGATTGAAAATAACACGATTAGTTACCATTTTGTGACTAGGTGAGGTAAAAATAGAAACTATTTGTTAGTCTCAAAAATAAGATCCAGTCTTGAAGNACGGGACAATTTGATGGGGTAGGATTCATCTCCCCACCCATCCGTACTGCGTAGCGATCCGGAGAAAACGTAGACCAGAACCATTCACCGTGTTTCTCCTCCAACTCCAACGCCCATTGCTTTTCCAGAGCGAATAGCCGAAATCGTTGAGAGCAACCTGATTTGAGTTTCAAAATTAGAATCAGATATTACTGATTACGATAAGCAAGCAAGCGGGATCAAAACATAACTGAGATGAGGACAACTCATGGACAAAACTAAAAATTAAAGGTCAACCGTGAGTCAAGCTATTTGGAGATAGAAGCGAAGTGAAATAATGGGCACCTCAATTTCTTATTTAACTAGTTCACATTGGAGCACAATTGAGTTTCATCTGATGAGCTGCAATGAGCCAATGGTGATCACCATAAAAGTATGCACGAATAAATGAGTTTTGAATGTACTGCATCTTATCAATACATTCCGCAGCCCCTGAATTAGCGCATTCTACTTTCCTGCGATTCATATTCAACTCAATTACTTGCGAGTGGTATAGGATAAATGATATGGAT